TTTGTAGATGACTGCCTACCTCCAAGAAAGAAAGTGAAGACAAGATCGTCGAGGCCAAGATGGCGGTGTACCGTGGCATCAGATTCAGACATTGCGTCATCTGGAGAATCTGATTATGAGTACACAATCTCGGAGGAGGAAAGAGAGCAGATTAGAGAAGCCAGTAGTTTGTTGAGAAGTAGTGTGAAGCATATAAGACAAACTACTGTCAATAAAGATTTGCCTCAGCTTCTTAAGTCTCCTGTGAAGAAAGGTGAAAAGAAGGTAGAGCTAGTGAAAAAAGATGTGATGAAAAACGTTTGTGGGATTTGTCTGTCTGAGGAAGACATGCGAAGATTGAAGGGAACATTGGACTGCTGTAGTCATTACTTTTGTTTCACTTGCATAATGGAGTGGTCGAAAGTAGAATCTCGTTGCCCACTATGCAAGCAGCGGTTCAGAACAATCAGTAAGCCGGCTAGATCTACACCTGGAGTAGATTTGAGAGAAGTTGTGATACCTGTACCTGAACGGGATCAGGTTTGTTTTTCTACTCTTTCTATTACTTTTACACTTCTAGTCTCTTTAGTTGATTCATCAAGTATCCTGGTATCGTCATGAATGTTGGTCGTGGTCTAAGGTCCAAATAGACGTTCCTTCTTGTAGCAGTTTATCATGTCAATACATTTTAGCTACCAGTAACATCAGTTTTCTCACTTTGACTGCTTCAGATGCACATCATAGGCAATACCTTATTAACTTTTGTTAACCTATGGACATAAAATTGCAATTTCTGCTCATCAAATGTGGTTGTATTGTGTGTCATGTCACTTCTTGTGTGATAAATTTGTTTTCTCTATGGGTTTTTACTGTGTGCAGGTCTATCAACCGACTGAGGAAGAGTTGAGGAGTTATCTTGATCCCTATGAAAATACAATATGCACGGAATGTCACCAAGGTGAAGATGATGGGCTTATGCTGCTTTGTGATCTTTGTGATTCATCTGCCCATACGTACTGTGTTGGTCTTGGAAGGGAAGTACCTGAAGGAAACTGGTACTGTGAAGGCTGTAGACCTGTTGCACTTGGATCAGCTAGTTCCCAAATGCATACTACATCCGAGCAACAAAGGGTCAGTGGCTTTTATAGTAGACCATCACCTCTTGTAGTTTCAGGGCAATATCAAGACGCGTCTTTGCTAGTCTCCCCACGTACACCATTTTTCAATGGAGAGCACCTTTTTTCTCCAAGGCTTCCTAATGGTGATGGTCAAGGTTCTTCTCCATCTGGCTTAGGGGCAACAACATTGTCAAGAAGAAGGACGCTTCATAGACACATACAAAATATTATCAACAGTGATAGACTTATTAATATGGGTAGTAGAACTGGTGGAACATCGATTGGTAACTTGAGTGATGGTTATATGACTACACAAATTGGTCATGTAAGAGAAACAGAAGCGTCTCAACCTGCAGCGACCCAAGAAACAGGGATGTCGTTGTATAGAATCTCTGAGGAAAGACTACCCAATAACCATTCATTGGTTTCTTCTCATGACCCTGAGCTTTTGTCTCCAAAATTAAATCATGTTGGAAGTGAAGAAGCATTCAGACGTTTGTCTAATAATACATTTCTTGGCGATCGACCTATTGATTTAGGATTAAGACATGGACTGGTTCAGGGTGATCCCTTGTTTGGTAATCAACAACATCTACCCAGCTACATGCCAAACACAATGTCTTCCACGGCAGGAGAAAGATTGCAACAAAGAGTTAGAGCCCATCTCAAGAACTTGTCCAGTCAAATCGACTTAGGTACACATAATCCAATTCCCTCTTCAAGCTCTTGGTTTAAAAAGTATTCTGTTTTTCTTTGCTTTACACTCTAGGCAAGTGAATAATGTTTACCTTTGGGGATTTTATTTTAAAAAGGCTTAAATATGGATCTAGGCCACAATTAGATTGCTGTTTGTGTACAACTTCCTGGTTAGTTCTTCTCTGCATGACTTCCTAGTTAGGTGTGTGTTATAGGCTTATATAGCTCTTACTTATTTGCCAAACTTGTCGATTATGGTTTTAGCTCACATTTCAACTCGTTAACTCTCTAGATGAGTTTATTTGCACAACTTTCCACCCTTAATGTAATTGAGACTCAATTCCTATCTGCCCTCTCTGATTATAGTTCTTGTGTATACTGGCACTATGTTCTCTCAGGTCAAGCCACGTTTGACGAGATTTCCACGTGCTCAATACACACGATACTGGCAGCTTGTGGACTGGAACACAAGAGCAGCGAAGTCCATCTTGTTCCGCCACCAGTGGCGTGTCCACACGATTATATGACACCTT